GGAACGTGGCAATGTTTGTATTTAATTAGTGCATCATGTTCATTTTTAAGCGTAAATATTATTTCTTCTGGTCTTTCTTTTATTTTCTTTCTGGCGTGTTTTTAAAAATTATTTTGGTTTTATCGTCCACTTCTCATTCAATATTTGTGTTTCTTGGCCTTTTTTTTTAAATTTTGCAGTAATGTTCACAACGCTGCAAAAGGCCGGACGGCCCCACAAGGTATAGGGAAAACAGTAAACTCTAAACTTAAACAGTTTTTAAAAATGAGATCCATGAGCTTTATATATATATATATATATATATATATATATATATATATATATATATATATATATAAAGTTAAAGTGAACATAGAAGTTAACATTAGGGCGACTGACTGTTTCATGCTAGATGCAATCGTCAGGCCACCTGATGATTGCATCTAGCATGAAACAGACTGTCGCTTTTAAGTGTTGACTTCTATGTTCACTTTTATTTTACACACGCTCTATCTCTGATATTGACCACTTTATCCCATAAATATAGCACATCTTAAGACTATATTTCTTCATATATATTTATATCGAAGAGGGTTCGTATATATAATACGCCACACACCTCATCGGTCTGAACAAAATGAATTTTGGTATATTCATGAAATAAATTAGAACGGAATGGATTTAAAAAATTTCGTCTGTACTTACCATTATATTGCTTGTTATTCCATATATATATATATATATATATATATATATATATATATATATATATATATATATATACATGGAAGTAAATAGAGAAATATAATGGTAAGTATGGGTTTTATTGGGGTTATTGTAACGTCTCCCTTTAATGTAAAGTTCTTATCGCTCACCCTTAACCACCTTTTATCTAGAGACGAGACGCGTTAAATTTGAGCAACATCCAGCCGACACACTGGGGTTAAAATAGGAAACTAAAATGATACATATGATTACACTTCATATCCTCTCTCCCACCTCACTTCCTCACTTCGTTAACTTTGCGTATTCTTGATGAAGTCCGTAAAAAAAATGTGAATTTCTTTTTCATTTTTCATTTCAGCTTTTGGAAGTAAAGTTCGATGATCCAGAACCCTGTAAAGGGGTTATGGTGAAATAGCTTATTACATGGAATCTTAACGTGGTCTGTCTTTTATTCAAACATATCTGCTCTGAATTTTACATTGAGCTCTCTGGATATCATCCTCCAGGTCAGGTCTACCTGTACGGATTACTATAAATTTGTATAAACTATATATATATATATATATATATAATAAAATGATAAAAAACCCTCAAACACTAATATTCCATGGTTATAATTTATTACATTGGAATCGTAATCACGATCCAATTATTCAGACCTTCAAATTTAAAAAAGAAATCGAAAAATATAACCCCAGTTATAAAAAACAAAATTATATAAAAACAAAATTTTAGTGAGAGTGTATGTGTGGAGAAACAAGCGTGAAAGTGAAAATTATGAAAGTTCTGGAGAGAGGTGTAATAGAAGAAAGAAGGACAGGAAGGCTTAAAGGTGAAGGTGGGGGTTAAAATTTAACAGAGAGATGCTTTAAAGAAAGGAGTTAAATAACGATTTAAATGAGTGAGATACAGATAAATCTTTATTATTTTTCGATGCATTATTCGCTACAGAATCGCAAACCCACATTAAAATAAAAAAAACAAAAAAAAAAAAAACAGACACCGGAAACATGTGTATACATTTGTGGTGACACAACGCACAATAAAGAATATTGAGCACTTATATTATCTATCTATCTAGTTTCGACCGAAATGGCCATCATCGGGAGGAGAAATATTTCTGCTTCCTGGTAGCAGTGAACTACAGAAATGAATGTCTTGATGGAGAAAATGAACTTTTGTCTGTAGTTTTCTTTTATTTTTATCTTTTTACCATGAATCTTTTAACATTCCTTGTGTTGGTCAAACAGTCTCTTTTAAGTTGTTATTTGAGATAAGAGCTGGATGGATCCATGCTGTTCTGAATTCCCTTGGTCAGTTTGACAGTTTTATTGGTTTCTGGAGAGGGGATGTGTCTCTGTTAAAGGTGTGTGTGTATGTGTTATTTAGTTCTTAGGGAGTGAGTGAGTATGATATGTGTAAGCGTGTGTATATTGTTGTGGGTGGGTGTTATCATTTGACAAATTAGGGAGTGAGTGAGTGAGTGAGTATCATGTGTGTAAGTGTGTATATTTGTGTGGGTGTGTGTATAAGTGTGAGACCTCAACACCTCCATAAGTCTTGTGTGGGTAAGAAATGTGGGTAGGTTTTGATTTGTAGGGTTATATATTAATACTATCTATATTATTAAATTTATGGCTAACCCGGCTGGATAGTGTGTTTTTAACGTTGTATCCACTTATTTTCATGGAACTCTAAAATCTTTCTAATGTTATCTGCTCTGAACTTTTCTATTCTCTCAATTATAGTGAATTTGGCATGGGTTTTGAAATCGTGTTTTTCCAGGCGGAAATATTGTTCTACAGGTAAGAATTTTTCATGGGGAATCGACTTAATTCGATTGCGATAATTATTAATTCTGTAGTGAAAGGGCCATTCAGATTTTGCTACATATTGTTTCTGGCATAGTGTGCATTCTAGGAGGTAAATTATGTTATGACTTCTACAGTTAGAATCATGGTAGATTTTGAAATTAGATTTAGTGACTGGGCTAATGAATGAATTCAGTGTCTAATATGGTTGCAAATATATATATATATATATATATATATATATATATATATATATATATATATATGTATATATATATATATATATATATATATATATATATATATGCATGTATATATATATATATATATATATATATATATATATATATATGCATGTATATATATATATATATGTGTGTGTGTGTGTGTATATATATATTTATGTAACTAGAAAGAACAGTTGATTAAGTATCCAAATTTATTCGTCATATAATAGAAATTCATAATTTCATATCATATTGAACCCTTGATAACGAAAGAAAAAAAAACAGATTACGCCTCCATTTACAACCTATAAATGAGTAAAGCTTTCTTCTGTGAGTTATTCTAAGATATCGCTTGAGAATGAAACTTTAACCTAAATTTTAATTTTAATATTGAAATTAAACTTTAGAACTTGAGTATATTTTCGAAACAATCATTTTTTGTTGCGATGGAATCATATTTTTTTAAAAAAAATAATAAATATACAAGTAGAATTGCTCATAACAATTTTTGGTTCTCACCAGTCGAGGTGGAATTGAAGTTCACCGAAACAAAGTTGCATCATTGTAGTGAGTAAACTGTTTTTGTCTATAGGATGAAATTGTAATAAATAATTATCGCTCTACTAGTGGTATCGATCCCTCTTTTGAATTAATGGTGTGAAGTTTAGAATTTATATATTACTTTCGTTCCTCATTGCCTCGGATATATATATATATATATATATATATATATATATATATATATATATATATATATATATATATATCCGATGCAATTAGAAAGAAAGTAATATATATAATATATACATATAATATATGTTCACCTTGTATAAGACTCGTGGGACACTCGTGGTAGATGGTAAACAGTAAGAGGCAGTTTGTATGTGGAGAAGATAGACGTTAACCCAGACTTGGACAGATTAAGATTTTAGCGATAGAGGAAACATCGTCTTGGGAGTCTGTTCCACAGGGCAGTGGTTCACAGGAAGAAGCTGTTCGAGTGAGACTTACATCTCACCGTTGGAATACGGAGGGGATACGGGTTGTTTGCTGCTAAGTAAGTGGCATTGTGTGTTCTTGCCATGATAGTCAGACCTAGAGGGACTAAGGTAGGTAGCTTGTTCTGGCACAATCCATGGAAGAAACGGTTGAGAAGCGACAGGCTCGCCAGATTCCGCCTGTGAGACAGATTTTGGACTTATGAAAATAATTCTTTTTCTAATAAAGATACAGAGACTCCTTAGAACTCCATAAAACCTAGAGAGTGAGGACAAGATAACTCCCGCCTAATTATGGCAACGGTACTTTATTTTCGGCCTGACCTGGCTCTTATAAAAGTAGAGGATTCCATGAGGTGTCAGGCTGTTGTTTTTGTCCATTATTATTATTATTATTATTATTATTATTATTATTTTATTTCATTGTGGCGGTTAAATCTGCTTTAGAGCTTTATGTAGCTTTAAAATACGCTCTTTTTTTAAAAAAAAAAAAAATATATATATATATATATATAACGGTTTAAAAAATAAATAAAATAAAGAAATGTTTCTTTCTTTGATTGATATTTTAAAGACACGATACGATATTCTGTGGAAGCGGGAGTAGGGATAGAAACGACATTATCCAGTGGGACACCGCTGGCGATGTCGCACTTCCCTGCTGCCTAAATCAGATGGTCAGTTGTTATGTAAAGGCTGAGTTCCCACGTCAATGTCACCAGTGCGTGCGTCGAGGCAGGCGTGCGTAAAGGACAAACAAATAGAAATAAAGAGGAAAGATGCGGAATAGTCAGAAGAAGACTTGAGGTTTGGAAGGGCGCAAGGGACGAGGCAAAACAAAAAAAAAAAATCAGACCGGTGGGGGGAGGCCAAAAAAAAAGTTAAGACAGGAAAAACCTTTAAAAAAATTGAAATAGGCAAGGGAAAGAAAAAGAAAAATGAAAAAAAAAAAAAGAGGAAATAATTGATTAAATACAAGTTCAGAAAGGATTA